CACACACACACACACACACACATACTCAACCGTCCCTGTATAAGTTGGTGCTAAAAAGGGGGTATAATAAATTCATACACGTATTATGAGCTCAGCCAAATTGGCGTCTCACCCATTTCTCCTTCTGCCACGCCCCTCCATGGGTGCCTCCTCCCCAACGTCGGGCACAGGCGAAACGTTTCCAGAACGCCTCCGGCCGCTTTCCCGCGGGGGTTGGGACTCTTCGACAGCTGCAGATGACCCACCTCTGTTGGGTACACTGATCGTTGATTCAGCAAGTCTTTACCATCTGCTCTAAACACCCTTCAAACACCACTTTAGGATACAGAGAAGCTTACGTACGTTTTTGGACATAGTTCAGGAAATGTCTACGAAATACTGATAAGCGATAAACCCAGTTTTCATAATTTGACCCCAAAACACCGTTTTCAGGGTGCTCCACGCTTACAGACACGACAGCAACAACAACAACAACAACAACAACAACAACACAACAACAACAACAACAACAACAACCAGAGCAACAGTAACAACAACCCCTCCCCCCCCACACACACACAACACAAACACACTCAACTGTCCCAGCATAATTTGGTTCTAAAAAGGAGGGGCATAATAAATTAATACACGTATTATGGGCTCAGCCAAAATGGCGTCTCACCCATTTCTCCTTCTGCCACGCCCCTCCTGGGGTGCCTCCTCCCCAACGTCGGGCACTGGCAAAACGTTTCCAGAGCGCCTCCTGCCGCTTTCCCGCGGGGGCTGAGGCGGAAGTGACTCTTCGACTGCTGCAGATGATGACCCGCCTCTGTTGGAATTTCGTCGTCTGCCCTGCTGACGCCCCCGGATTCCTCGCCGTCTGCCAGACTGGCCCGAGCCATCCGAATTTCTGCCTCTCTGCGCAAATGATTCGGTCACACAAGCGCAAACCACAAGGGCAACAACAACGAGCTTCAGTGACACTTTCATGGCTCTTTTCGAAAAGAGGATACGACCTGAAAATATAAAAAAGGGGCATTATTGGGCACGTGGCAATTTCACACACACACAAAAAAAACATTTCGGAGGTTTCAAGCTGAACTGGTAACAAAATTTGAAACATGGTAAATAATTATGCATGATAATGCGCCACAAGCAAAGAACGATCTTGAAAAGATAAACAGATTACTTCCAGGCCTAACTAAACCCACTGGCAGCCCCCGGTGCAAGGTCGGGAATCACCGCCAGTTACTCTGACCACTGTAAACCAACCTTCCTAAAGACTTAAATACAACCCCCCCCCCCTCATTAGTGGCGGTGGGTAGTGAAGGGCTTGAGCCCCCCCCCCCCTTAACTTTATCCCTAAGTAATGTAAAATAAAGAAATAAACAGTTGAAACCGTTTTGATTGCACGCAATGAACACAGAGAAATCAACTTGGCGGCTTGCTCGTTTATCCAATCACTGCTGTCACCTCTTACAACTATAGTAACCTAACAGCCAATCAAACGTCTTTAGGGCTTAGAAAAGACAAGCCCGTTAAACCCACCATAATATACATGTAGTAGCATCGAGTCAGATATACTGCTTGAATTGGGCTTCACCGACATCATCAGCGACTTTTTCACACGAATATCGAGAAAAGTGTCTGAACTGTAATGACTCCATCCATTCTCTGATTTGATCTATTTTGACTTGGTACATCCCCACTACCCGCTGCCTGCTCTTTTCGTCACTACGGACCAGACAACAAAAGAAGTCTACCCAGACCCTGGGATGAGGTGATGATAAACAGGGACGAGGCTAGGCTACAAGAATATACAGAACATCTTAACGCTTGATTCACAACAGATGTTACGAGTATCAGCAGGAAACCTGAAACAATGGATGGAAATCAATGTCAATAAATCCCAACAAAAGTAAGCCAGTGAATTCAAATACCCAGGCAGATTCATTGTTGTTTTTTTTTTACAGAAGGCAGTAAAGTAGATAGAGAAGTTTAAACACGATCCCAGAAAGGTAATGTAACCAGTTATCAACTGTAATCAGTATAGAAACATAGAGAACCTTCTAAATCGGAATGTGGCTGCATGAAGGCAAGGGGCCCAACAAAGTAGGATAAACGGTAACACATATTTTTAAAAATCAAGCCTGGAGAGGAATGGGAGCCGACGGGCTATTCTTGCCCAAGACACACTGCATGAAGAATGAACACAATACCTATGTCTCCAAGCCCTTGCCCATGCCATGACCGTCAGATGTGGAGACAACTGGCGTAGCCCCCCCCCCCCTTCAATGACTCCTGGAAGGGTTAAGGCACTCGTGACTCATGACTTCTTCTTTGTTTCTTTTAGTAGAGGTTTTACCGCGCTCGCAACTGCATAAGGTCATAAGAGAGCAAAGGGCTGGATGTCAACAGAGAAGTCCTTACAGGGAATCACTTACTCTGCTCATCTCTCTAGCTTCAACAGCACAAATGACCTCTCTTGAGACACCCCGTTATCCTTACAGGCACTAAGAAAAAACTTATCATTGCTCTAATATTATCTATAGCAGCATTAATATGACAAACTTGATGCTTGACAAAGAATAAAGGTGAAGATACTATAACCACCTCCGAGATGCTATGTCTGAGGAGAGCAATGAACAAGACTAGGAGAGACTAGCTCAGGAACAAGTTGGTCAGAGACACAATAATCATTAACATCTGTCCTCCGCCATATCGAACAGCAGCGAGCTAAATTTGTCGCTCTTAAGCACAAGGGGGCTATCCCGAAAAATGCTATTTTGAGAAAATCGAAGGTAAAGTTTTGCCCCTTGTTCAGTTTTGTTGAAATACAAGAAGGGTTTTCTCTATAACAAACAAATACACACATCAATGAAGCCAAACGTCTCCTAGAGGTTGGGAAATGCCCACTTTTGGAGTAGGTCAAGATTTCTGGAAACCCCCGAATCTGGGTTAGCCCGCTTGTCCTTAAAAGCGACCAGTTGTTCAACCAACTCTCAAGAATATTCCTAGACCAGCCTGCATTGCGGTACTCTGGCTGCTGAAACAGAAGGAGGCCAAAAAACGTCTCCGGGTCGACCCTGGAAAGGACACCCTCGGAGTCCATGACGACCTGACCCTCCTCCAAGCTATTTGACTAACAGCTGACAGACTATTGTGTCTCCCCACGACACCCATTGGTAACAGAGGTTGGAAAATGAAGAAGTAAATTCAAGCAGGCTGCGACCAGTTTCTTATTTCCCACCAGAGAAAAAACAAGACAGCTCCGCAAATGTTATGCTGTAATTGTAATGTTGAATCATATAATATTATTATTATCATTATTATCATTTCTATTATTTTAAAAAAATTATTATTATTATTATTATTATTATTATTATTATTATAATTATTATTATTATTATTATTATTATTATTATTATTATTATTATTATTATTATTATTATTATTATTATTATTATTATAATTATTATTATTATTATTATTATTATTGTTATTATCATCATTGTTATTATTATAATTAATTAACATTATTATAACAATAACATCAGAGAGACATTGAATGAAAATTCTCCTCATATGAGATTCAAACTCGTATCGTCTGGGTGCAACGTCGGAACGCCCAAATCGCAACACCATTGACGCCGTTTTTACGTTTAAAAAAAGTATATTTTGTGTATGCTTTGTATCTCTGTGATATTGTGCGACATGTAAATTGTCTGCTGCTGCCGATGTGTTTTTTAAATACATTTTAATTTTGTCATGTGGCTATGGTATTTTGCATTGTGTGATGCCTATGTATACTTTAATAAATGTATTCTTGTGTTGCCCTGTGCCTGTTATTGCAAACAAATTTCCTAACGGGAATCACTTAAAGTTGATTAAACAGACAGACAGACAAGCAAACACACAGACAAACAGACAGACAGACAGACAGATAGACAGACAGACAGACAGACAGACAGACAGACAGACAGACAGACAGACAGACAGACAGACAGAGATTTAATACACTTTCTGCAAGGTGCAATAGAATAGAAATATATTTAAAAATCTATCCATTCACAAAGAGATTTTAAAAAATATGGTTATATCATTAATAAGTGAATAATCCGTTACCGTTCTGGAAAGATAAGATAGAAACCTCAGAACTCGCAGCCCAAGTTCAGTAGGACAAATCAAAACGATCTCTTCCCGTTCCTCTCTCAGAAAAGAGGAGGAGAAATATTGCACCGAAAACATAGGGGTGCGTTGGTTTTATAGCCCGCTTACATCATTTCCTGACGCAAACGAGCCTGACAAATATAGACAGCAAGGGCCATAGACCGTTTGGTTGTTGACAAAATGAACACTTGCGGTTATTGTAGGTAACTTGCCCTACCCCAGCAACACCTTACCACCATTACTGAACCGTGGGAAAATCAGCCTACCTGTGGGAGCAGGTCTAATAGTACATGACAATGTACTTTATACGTTATGATAAGGGTTAGCTCTTTGTTTCTGTCCCATAAGCTGACCGCATGTGTCTGTCTGTTTGTGTGTCTGTGTGTTTGTATGACTGTATTTCTGTCTGTCTGTCTGTCTGTCTGTTTCTCTCTCTCTCTCTCTCTCTCTCTCTCTCTCTCTCTCTCTCTCTCTCTCTTTTTTTTCTCTCTTTCTCTTTCAATATCTTATCCTATCTATCTATCTATCTATCTATCTATCTATCTATCTATCTATCTATCTATCTATCTATCTATCTATCTATCTATCATAGGATATTTGAACAGATTGCCAAAGAACAATTCCTACATAAACTCTAGATCTCATCAAGTAAGTGTCGCTGGCTTAGGGTTATTTTCCCACGACGCCGACAGCACCTTCTCAGATAATTAGCGAGGCTAAAGAGAACATTGTCGCGATATGCATCTCTGTCATTACAAAGATGAGCTCTGCAGTAATGTGTCTGGAGATCGCTTGTGGCTTGAGGCTGTACCCTGGTCGTTATCTACTCGACTTGTCGTCTTGCTCTGTAAATTGGACGGTGGGAGCAGACCATGTTGGTTCAGACGCCTCCGTACATCTTTGTCAATATTTTTGTTCCCTAGAGCTGTAAATCTTTGTCCGCGAAACGACACTGTTACCGAAATGTGGCCGATAGCGAGACCACCACATGGATGTACACAAAACAAATCGGAGCTATATTATGAGCCATCACACTGAGATCCATAAACATTTGACGACACGGAAACAACACCTTCTTCAGCAGCCTAATTTTCACTGCAGCTTTATTGTGTTTTTTTCTATCGTTGGTTTCGTTTCGCACTCATCTGACCAAACGTGATGTAGTCAGAGACTACCATTTTAATAACACATGCCCTAACACGTATGTAACAAGGCGGTGGTCGTCACAAGCGTCTCACTGTTTGTAACAGGGTTTGTTTGATTAACCCATGAGGGACGCTCACTGATAGAAACAATCAGGAAAAGACAAATTGCAGTTTTTGGGGCACCTGAATAGACATACAATGTAAATGTCTTGAACATATTGTAGCGTTCAGGGGCAAAATTGAAGGCAAATGAGGCAGGGGTAGACCCAGAGCAAGTAACTTAGAGTACCTACTGCAGATTAAAATTTTGGTGAAGCCCTTCAAAAGGCTGAAAATAGAGAAGGATGGAGGAAAGATGTTGCTCGATAATCCTTGGTGCTTCAACGATATTTAAGACTAAAGGGTAAGGAAGCAAGCAAGTAAGCAAGCAAGTAAAAGTAAGTAAAAATAAGTGAGTAAGTAAGTAAGTAAGAAAGTAAGTAAGTATGTAAGTAAGTAACTAAAAACCAACTAAGTAAGTAAGTAAGTAAATAAGTACGTTTTTTATTTACATATCCTTCAGCAAAGTTTACAATGACACGTATACGGAATGATCTATTTGGACGTCCCTTGAGAGAGCACAAAGACAGGGGTACTCTTTAAATAACAAGTTGTACTCCCTCCCCCCAAACAAACACCCCAGGAAACAAAAACTATCCACTATGGCAGGCGAGGTGTAGACCATGGACTATTCAGAGGGTAGACTTTCATGCGGGCTCTCGTGACCTAGGTGTTTTTAAATTAATAAGATGAATATTTGGAGTGATTTTCTTTTAGTCAGATCACAACGTTTTATGTTACTGTTGTACGTTGTACTGTATTGTAAAGAGCTCAGAGCCTGTGTACTCTAATCGGGGTTGAGGGCTATATAAATGTCATGTATTATTATTATTGTT